TCAACCACAAGAAATGGACATCGATATTTCATCACTTTCACAGACGACTATAGTAGATATGGCTATGTCTACCTCATGTCGCATAAATCTGAATCATTTGAAAAGTTCAAAGAATTTCAGAGTGAAGTTGAAAATCAGCTTGGCAAGAAAGTCAAAGCCCTTCGATCGGATCGAGGTGGTGAATACTTGAGCCAAGAGTTCGATGACCATCTGAAAGAAAAGGGTATACTTTCAAAATTGACACCTCCAGGAACTCCACAATGGAACGGAGTATCCGAAAGGAGAAATCGGACCTTGTTAGACATGGTACGATCAACAATGGGTCTTAGTGATCTTCCTATCTCTTTCTGGGGACACGCACTTCTAACTGTGGCACTAACACTGAACCGTGCTCCATAAAAAGCTGTAGAAAAGACTTCATATGAATTATGGACGAAGAAACCTCCTAGGTTATCTTTTCTACAGATATGGGGATGCGAAGCATATGTCAAGAAATTGATTTCTGACAAACTTCATCCCAAATATGACAAGGTTTACTTTGTGGGCTACCCAAAAGAAACCAAAGGGTATTACTTCTACAACAAATCGGAGAACAAAGTGTTTGTTGCTCGCGATGGTGTCTTTTTGGAGAAGGAGCACCTTTCCAAAATGACAAGTGGGAGGAAAATCGAACTCGACGAAGTTCGTGAGGATGAGCAACAAAATCATAATGACAGTCAAAGTGCTCAAACAACATCTGTTGACGCAAGTCAAAATGATCAAAATTTGCAAAGTCGAACCGACAATGCAAATGCTCAATCCATTACCCTACGTAGGTCTCAGAGGCCGAGATCTCAACCTGATAGATATCTTGGTTTAGTATTAACCGAGAATCAGGACATCCTGATTATGGATGGAGATGAACCGGCAACCTACAAGCAAGCGATGGCAAGCACCGACTCTGCTAAATGGCAAGAGGCCATGAGATCTGAAATGGATTCCATGTTTGAAAATCAAGTTTAGGACTTGGTTGACTTACTCGAAGGTTATACACCTATCGGATGTAAGTGGATTTTCAAGTTGAAAACCGACAAAGATGGAAATTTATTCATTTACAAAGCTAGATTGGTGGCAAAAGGTTACAGACAAGTTCATGGTATTGATTATGATGAAACCTTTTCACCAGTCGCAATGCTTAAATCCGTTCGGATCCTCCTAGCGATTGCTGCATATTACAATTATGAAATGTGGCAGATGGACGTCAAAACCGCCTTCCTTAATGGTTATTTGGAAGAAACTGTGTATATGACACAGCCTGAAGGTTTTGTTGACCAAAACAATGCTAGGAAAGTTTGTAAGCTTAAGAAGTCCATTTATGGACTAAAGCAAGCAAGCAGAAGTTGGAATCTGCGATTCGATGAAGCCATCAGTAAGTTTGGTTTTATCAAGAATCCAGATGAATCTTGCGTTTACAAGAAGGTTAGTGGGAGTGACATCGCCTTCCTAGTCTTATATGTCGATGACATATTGCTCATTGGAAACAGCATTCCGTTGTTAGAGTTTGTAAAGGCCTGGCTTGGAAAGTGCTTCTCAATGAAAGACTTGGGAGAGGCTCAGTACATACTAGGCATCAAGATCTATAGGGATAGATCGAAAAGGATGATTGGATTGAGTCAGAGTACTTATATTGATAAGGTACTTGCTTGATTTGGCATGGAAGAGGCCAAGAGAGGTCACCTGCCAATGTCACATTGCATAACCCTAAGCAAGAAGCAGTGTCCATAGACACTTGATGAGCGGGTAAGAATGAATCAGATTCCATATGCTTCGCTTATTGGATCGATCATGTATGCCATGATATGTACTAGGCCAGATATATCGTATGCCTTGAGTGCTACGAGCCGTTACCAATCAGACCCAGGAGAGGCGCATTAGACTGCGGCCAAAAATATCCTAAAGTACCTGAAAAGGAACAAGGATAAATTCCTAGTGTATGGTGGTGCAGAGAATTTAGTTGTGGAAGGTTATACCGACACAAGCTTCCAGACAGAAAAAGACGATTTCAAATCGCAATCTGGATATGTGTTCTGTTTAAATGGAGGGGCGTTTAGTTGGAAGAGCGCAAAGCAGAGTACAACTGCAGATTCTACAACTGAAGCTGAATACTTAGCAGCTGCTGAAGCAGCTAAGGAGGCTGTTTGGATTCGTAAGTTCGTTGGTGAACTTGATGTTGTACCCTCTATAAAGGGTCCAATAGCCCTCTATTGTGACAACAATGGAGCTATTGCTCAGGTCAGAGAGCCTAGGGAACATCAGAAGGTCAAACATGTCAAGCGGCGATTTCACATGATTCGAGAATGGAAATCAGAGGGTGAAATTAGAATTTGCAAAGTTGGAACGGATGACAATGTAGCCGATCCACTTACTAAACCTTTGCCTCAAGTGAAGCACAACAAACACGTTGAGGCAATGGGAATCAAGCATGTAGGAGACTGGCTTTGATTTCCTTGTTTAGTGTTTTAGTTAATTTTGAGAAAAATTAATGTAAGACGCTAAGGAAAACCATTCATGTTTTGGAGTAACGTAAAATTTCATGCAATATTTTATTACTCCGTTATGCTATTTAATTGCGGTTTAGGATTAAATAATGAGTCCATTCGATTATGAGAATATTCAAAATAGGGTATCAAGACCAGTCTTGGTAAGGAAACACCTATTAAGTGAACATTGAATATTATAATCGAAAATTATCCCTAATCAAGGTCATCTAAACGATGGACGATTAATGACCGATTGAGATTAGTGTGTAGTTTGATTTATAGCACCGTTTCATGTGCTACAAGGACATGATTGTCATAAATCATTTGCACAGGTATTGGTTTAGAACCATACTGGATCGACCTATGAGAATAATTTAAGAAATTAAAAATTTGTCATAAGTATACTTCTCATTATGGCTATCGGAACCTATTTCCTCGACCATGAGTATTGTGAGTTCTCTTGTTTGAGTACTAGTTCGCTTTGATGTTGTCAAACGTCTGCCGTAATAGGGGATTATAACGGCAACACTCGGGCGACTAGGTCCTCTCAGTAAGAGGAGCTACATTACAAGACTGGGAATGTCCCCCTACTAAAATAGGGAAGATGTCTTTGTTGTATCCAAGGCCTCTCGTAGAGCGAGACTGTAAAATGCATGGATGTGCTAGGATGGATTTTAGAAATCATCTGTTTATTGACAGTCAGACTCGGAATCGGGAAACACTTCTGAACGTAATAAGGATGACAAAATAAATCTTACCTTATAGTTCATGAAGAGACATTAAGCGACATAGGAAAAAGGTTGTACACAAAATGCGCACTTGTCCGGAAGGACAAGTGGGAGATTGAAAGGAATGGTGTCCTTTGAACAAGTGTACTATTCCGTTAGTGGGTTCAGAATTATTAGAAAGCTAATATATTCAGTGAGGTCAAGTGATCGGAATGCCTGGGTGGAGGCCGCTTCCGATCAGTAATATTAATGAATAATTAATATTACAGCTTAATCTTGACTGAACCCTTCAAGTCACACCCAAGCATTCAACAAACCGAACCGAAGAATTAATTCGGAAGGAATTAATGAGTCGACCGAGTAATATTTATTTAGACGTCGGAAATTCGAGCTTAGAGCGTCGAAACCGAGCGTCGGAAGTCGAGTCGAAAAATAGTGAAAGACGAGACGAGAAATAGTAATAAATCAACAAAAGACCAAAATACCCCTAGCATCGGAATGCCCAAGCAACCCGAGTGCTAAGGGCGTATGGCCTAGCATGGTGGTTAGCATGCGCACCAAGCCGAGCGTAGGCTGGCTGGTGCGTGCTAGCGTACCCATGCTAGCATCGCAATGCTAGGCGCTGCCTAGTGCGTGCTAGCATGCTATGCGCAGCCTTGTGCGCACAATGGCTAGCAAGCCATGTCGCAACAAGCTGCAGCAGCTAGCACGCTAGGCGCGCCAGCTCGCCACAGCGAGCAGCAGCATGGCTAGGCCATTGCTTGCTGCAGCGCTGGCCAAGGCACAAGGCCAGCAGCAGCCCGCACAAGCATGCTGGGCTTGCTGGCCAGCATCGCCTGGCAGCCCGCATGCGAGTGCTGGGCCTGCTGGGCTTGCTGGGCGTAGCTGCCACGGACAGCAGCACATGGCAGCCCACCTTGGTTGCCTTGGTGCCCAAGGGTGGGTGCCATGTGGATAGTGGTCCTTGAGTGTGTGTGAAGTTAGGTGGCCGGTTATGGTAGAGGGAGTGAGGAGCAAGTTTGCCCCCCCTTCCCAAGTGGTCCTCACCTAACCACTCACATGAGCTTGCCACTTGTTGATTTATTACTAGCTTGATTATTACTTTTATTTTAGCTTTAAAATAAAATGGAAAAATCATACTATCCCACATTGATGGGAGAGTAAATGATACTCCCATCATTTCCTATAATTACCCAAGTATGGGCATTGGGAACGATGCTTGAGTAAGAGTTGGAAAAGGCATCACAATTAGTGAAAACCTTTGAACTCAATATAATTACTCGGGTTTTATTGGTCGGGTCTTGCTAACCCCAAGACATTGGACCTAGTCAGTTTTGTTGGTGCGGGTGGACTTCGTTGGAGGTCTCCGTGTGAGCGAGACGTGAAGCTTTCAAGTAAGAGCTCATTTTGGAGCGAAGCACGCGTCAAAGGTAATTAGCTTATCTTAATCTTGTGATTAATATAATTATGTTTATGGTTTTATTTATTGCGAGTGCGGTCTTGTTTTTGGGTTTGTTTCCGCGGTGAGCCGGACTCATTAAACCCCAACAAAATATAGTATATTTTGTATATTAGTTTAAGAAGATATTTGTTCCTAAATTATCTTCTATTGTTACCGTATATAGTGTAGCTAGTCAAAGTAGATTGTTAGCTTTGTAATTATCCTAGCTTAAGATTAGCCTTATTTCAAGGCAGTAGTTTTGCAGTAGTTTTGTATATATAACGTCCATCAGTTTGATGATAATTCAAGGAAAACATTCCCAAATCTTTCATGGTATCATTTAGCCTAGGGTATTCTTTCTAATTCCGCTGCTACCCTAGCTCTGTTCTCTGCCCACATCTTCTTCTTCTTCCTCTCTTTCTCTTCTTCTTTCTCTCTTTCTCTTTCTCTTCTTCTTCTTCTCACCGGCAGTGTCTATGGGGGAACTCTAAGTCATCCTTCCATCCGGCTCTTGCCGTTCCTAATATTAATAGCAAAATTCCAATCACTCTTGAGATGGATAATGCTCAGTATTCCACGTGGGCGGAATTATTAAAGGTTCACGCAAAATCTAACAAGGTTCTCCACCATGTCATTCCTCCGGCCGAAGGCAAGGAGAAACCTTCTCCATCTACGGATGCGGAGAAGGAATTATGGGCAACCTTGGATGCCACAGTTCTATCGTGGATTTATTCAACTATTTCTCGTGATTTATTGAACACCATTATTGAGCCCGACTCAACGGCTATGGAGGCTTGGAATAGGTTGCGTGACATATTCCAAGATAATGAACACTCTCGTGCCGTGGCTTTGGAACAAGAATTCTCCACCACTTCTATGGAGGATTTCCCAAATGTTTCCTCTTATTGTCAATGTCTCAAATCCCTTTCGGATCAATTGAAGGATGTTGGGGATTCGGTGTCCGATAGTAATATGGTTCTACAGATGGTTGGTGGTCTTACTTGCCCATACCGAGGTGTGGGTACGTTAATTCGCCAAAGTAATCCTCTGCCTCCCTTTTACAAAGCTCGTTCCATGCTTACCTTAGAAGAAGCCGGGTTGGCTAAGGAGGCAGCCAACGAGTCTACTATGGTGGCCGCGACGGAGGGTGGTCCGAGTCATGGAGAAAAATCGGGGCAGAACAACAATAACAACGGCAAGAATTTTTCCGGCAAACGGAACAATAATGGTGGCCGGAAAAATTATGCTTCAGGTGGCCGGAACTCCGGCGGCAGCAGCAAGGGTGGTGGCCGGGACCTGCAGACCGGCAGCCATGGTGGCCAGCACGGTGGACAGCAGCAGCCAGGGCAGTGGTATCCACAGCAGGATTCGAGTTCTCCTTGGGGGTGGTATAACCAGGGCTGGCCCATACCCCCTTGTCCATACCCAACTCAAGGTTGGGCCAGACCCCAGTCTACTCCTAACATAAGGCAGCCTGGCGTGTTGGGCCCAAGACCTCAGCAGGCCTATGTTCAGCAGTCCGCAAATCCGAGTTCTTTTGGTCAGTCCGGGTCGTTTGCTCCAACAGATATCGAGGCGGCAATGCATACTATGTCTCTTCAACAACCCGATCCATCTTGGTACATGGATACCGGTGCAACATCTCATATGACCTCCTCTTCCGGTAACTTCTCATCTTATTTTAATTTGAGCACTCATCCTAATAATGGCATTGTTGTTGGTAATGGTCATACTATTCCTATACTTGGTTATGGTCACACTAAATTACCTTCTACTGTTACTCCCCTTTCCTTAAAAAATGTTCTTCATGCTCCAAAAACTCATAAAAAATCTCATTTCAGTCAGAAAATTTACCACCGATAATTATGTGAAAGTTGAGTTTGATTCTTTTGGGTTTTCTATGAAGGATTTTCGGACGGGGAAGCCAATCATGAGGTGTGATAGCCAAGGGGACCTTTATCCTATTACCAACAATCAAGCTTATCCTTCTACCTTTTCCGCCATCTCTCCTAAGCTTTGGCATGATCGGTTGGGTCATCCGGGTGCTCCTATTTTAGATGTTCTTAGGCGTAATAAAAACATTGATTGTACTAAACATTCTAGTTCTAGAATTTGTGGTTCTTGTGTTTATGGCAAACATGTTAAGTTGCCTTTTGTTTCTTCTAATACAAACACTCTTATGCCATTTGATATTATTCATAGTGATTTGTGGACATCTCTCATTTTGAGCTCTACTGGCCATCGTTATTATATTGTGTTATTAGATGATTTTTCGAAATATTTATGGACTTTTCCTATAGCTAAGAAATCGGATGTTTACGACACCATTTTAAAGCCCATATATTCACCCAATTTGAACGAAAAATAAAAAATATTCAATGTGATAATGGGAGGGAGTTTGATAATGGTCCTTTTTGGGATTTTTTCAAACGAAATGGCTTGTCTTTTCGTCTTTCTTGTCCCCATACTTCTTCACAAAATGGGAAAGCCGAGCGAAAAATTAGAACTATTAATAATATCCCTAGAACTCTCCTTGCTCATGCTTTGCAAATGTTCACATACCTCCTCAATATCATTCAGAGTAAATTGTTGGGTAATAAGTCTCCTTTGGAAGTCCTATATCAAAGGGTTCCCTCTTATTCTCACTTGCGGGTTTTCGGGAGTTTGTGCTATCCTCTTATTCCATATACCACCATTAATAAATTGCAACCAAGATCTACTCCTTGTGTATTTTTGGGTTTTCCTCCTAATCATCGAGGCTACAAGTGTTTTGATTTTTCGTCTAATAAAATCATTATTTGTCGCCATGTCGTTTTTGATGAGAATGTGCTCCCATTTGCTAAACTTTATTCTCCATCTAATGACTCGTATGATTTTCTAAAAGATGCATTACATCCTTCTGTTCTTCATCATTTGACCGAAAATCATGATAGCCCACAAACCACCCAGCCCACATCTCCACCTCACTCACCCACGGCCCAACCCCATCATTCCCCTCCTCCAGCTTCTGTCCAATCTCCTTTGGGTTTGCAAGAGGCACATGGGCCTCCTCACTCACCCAGCCCAAACCGTCCCACTCCTATTCCTTCTTCCCCTCTGGCCCAACTACAAAATGGCCCACCTGCACCCCCTCCTAACCAAATTCCAGTCCAACAGCCAAATATTGTGGCTCGTAGTCAAAATGGCATTTTAAAGCCAAATAAAAAATATTTTTCCAATGTTGCTGTAACGAGGTCTCCTTTACCTGCGTGGTCCAAATTGGAAAATGGCCATGGATGATGAATTTGATGCTCTTATTAAAAATAAGACGTGGGAGTTGGTGCCCCGTCCACCTAATGTGAATGTTATTCGTTCTATGTGGATTTTTACTCATAAAGTGAAGGCTAATGGTGATTTTGAGAGGCATAAAGCCCGTCTTGTAGGTGATGGTAAAACTTAACAGGTTGGCATCGATTGTGGAGAGACATTTAGTCCGGTGGTTAAACCGGCTACAATCCGTACTGTTCTCAGTCTTTCTTTGTCTAAGGCATGGTCTATACATCAGTTGGATGTTAAAAATGTCTTCTTACACGGTGAGCTACATGAAACTATCTATATGCATCAACCAGTTGGATACAGAGATCGGACTCATCCGGATTATGTTTGTCTCTTAAATAAGTCTCTTTATGGGCTTAAGCAGGCACCCCGGGCTTGGTACAAGCGATTTGCTGATTATATGTTGACTCTTGGTTTTACTAACAACAGGATGGATAATTCTTTCTTTATCTATCGCAATGGGTCTGATATGGATTATATTTTATTGTATGTTGATGATATTATTCTAACTGCTTCTTCTGATGCTCTCCGACGTACTATCATGGCTCTTCTTAGCTCTGAGTTTGCTATGAAGGACCTAGGTCCTCTGAATTATTTTTTGGGTATTTCTATGACTAGACATAAGGGTGGTTTGTTTCTCTCACAGCGTAAATATGCCGAGGAAATAATTGAACTTGCAGGAATGTCATCGTGTAAACTGTCTCAGACTCCGGTTGACACGAAGCCGAAGGTTGGCGCTACTACTAGTGCTACTTTTGATGATCCGACTCTGTATAAAAGCCTTGCAGGGGCTCTACAATACCTTACATTCACTAGGCTAGATATCTCTTATGCCGTTCAACAGGTTTGTCTTCATATGCATGACCCGAGGGTTGATCATATGTCTGCTGTCAAACGGATTATTCGGTATGTACAGGGTACTCTTGATTTTGGATTACATTTATATCCTTCCTTTTTTTCTACTCTGGTCTCGTATACAGATGCAGACTGGGGTGGGTACCCCGACACACGTCGTTCTACTTCTGGTTATTGTGTATTTTTGGGTGATAATTTGGTGTCTTGGTCGTCCAAACGACAACCCACTTTGTCAAAATCAAGCGCATAGGCAGAGTACCGTGGGGTAGCAAATGTAGTTTCCGAGTCATGTTGGCTCCGGAACTTACTCTTGGAGCTACATTGTCCGCTTAAAAAGGCCACTCTTGTTTATTGTGACAATGCGAGTGCTATTTATTTTTCAGGTAATCCAGTTCAGCATCAACGAACAAAACATATAGAGATGGATATTCATTTTGTCAGGGAAAAAGTCGCTCGTGGCCAAGTACGAGTACTTCACGTGCCTTCACGCCATCAAATAGCTGACATTTTCACCAAAGGTCTTCCACTAGTATTATTTGAAGATTTTAGGGACAGTCTCAGTGTCCGTGGACCTCCCGCTTCGACTGAGGGGGTGTGTTAAATATAGTATATTTGGTACATTAGTCAAAGAAGATATTTGTTACTAAATTATCTTCTATTGTTACTGTATATAGTGTAGCTAGTCAAAGTAGATTGTTAGCTTTGTAATTATGTAATTATCCTAGCTTAAGATTAGCCTTATTTCAAGGCAGTAGTTTTGCAGTAGTTTTGTATATATAACGTTCATCAGTTTGATGATAATACAAGGAAAACATTCCCAAATCTTTCAGTTATGTGTAAATACTGGAGATAGTCATGCAAAATTAAGTCGCGTATATTACATGGAATTACTCGATTGACAATTCTATTTCAACTTTAGATTCTTCTCTACGAACAAAGGTCATATAAGCCCAAAAGGCAAACGTCGGATTTATTTAATATATAAACATCCCTTCCACCCTTCATTTTAGAGTAAATGACATATTTTGATTATTGTCACTATTCATATAATTTCTTTTATTATATATAGTTTTCTAATAATATAATAAAAATAAAAATAAAAATAAAAATTATCATGATATATGTTATAAAAGATACTCCCTTTAATTTTTTTCCCAAAAGTTTTGACTTTTTCGTTTGATAACTTTTATTGGCAAACTTAGCTTGATTAATTTTTGACAAAAAATCCCATTAATTTACATGAAAGTTAATTTTGATTAAGCATGCACCTTTAAAAAACCATTTTTTTATATTAACTAAGAACATGTTCTCTTCAGCTTATTTTCAGTTTAGTTCAATTTAATTAAGCTTCAATAAGTTTAGTTTAGTTTAGTTCATTTCTTAATTTTCTTCTCTCATAAAATATTCACACTACTAGAATCAGGTCAAATTCCGACGAAATCGTTCCGACGAACACGTAAATCCGTCGAAAAAATCAAAATTTCCAACTGATTTTTATTATGTCGAAAATTTCAGGCCAAATTAAAGATTCCATCGGAAATTTCCGACGGAATATAAATCCGTCGGAAATTATGTACTTTCCGACGGATTTTTCCCTCGAAAGTACATTTTTCGACGGAATAATAATCCGTCGGAATAATTCTTTTTTTTTTTTTAAAAAATATTGTTTCAGAAAACCCTAAGTTGATCTAGGTTTGTTGCCCGCCTCTTTTTTTCTCCTTCCCCCTTCTCCTTTTCTTTCCCATTCTTCTCTCTCCTATTCAATCTGTTCTTCATTCTCCTCTCTCTCCTCAATGTTCTCCTTCTCTCTTCTCTTCTTCTTCTTCTAGTCCTCAACATGCTCCTTCTCTCTCCTCTTCTTCTTCTCGTTATGTTTCCTCTTCTCTTTCTCGCCGGATTTGTTTTACTCTCTACTCTTTCTCGCCGGATCTGTTTTACTCTCTTCTCCGACCAACACCCACCGTCGTCGCTAATTAAGAAAAACACCTACGCCGATAAACAAAAACATCAACACCGCATGAACAATAACAACAACAAAGACATTAATGAAGGTTTTCAGCTCAAATTCGAGCATGAAAATTCTAGATCTAGGGTTTTCGTAGTCGAATTTGGCCTTATAAACCCAATTTTGAGGATTTATTCAGTCAAATTAAGGTATTTATCTCTTTTTTCCCAAACTTTGATTTTATTTTGTTGGTTTTGGGATTTTTTTTTTTCAAATTTTATGGCGGTGGTGGTGGCGGATGTTGGAGTACGGTTTTTAGGGGTTGGTTTTTTTTTATGTTTTTTTTTGTGTTGCGGTGTCGTGGGTAGGTGATACTGGCCAGTGGGGGCTGGTGGATCTGGGTTGGGCCGGTTTGGTGGGAATTTGGTTAGTGTTTTGTCAAGGTATTGCTCTGGGTATGGGTTTGGGGGAAGGGAGAAAATAGGGGTAGGTTAAGGTTTAGTCAGGGTCTGGGTTATGGTGGGTTATGGTTTGGTCAGGGTCTGGGTGGGTTAGGGTTTGGTCATGGTCTGGGTTAGGGTGAGTTAAGGTTTGGTCAGGGTCTGGTTAAGGTATGGGTCTGGGTATGGGTTTGGGGGAAAGGAGAGAATAGGGGTTGGTTAGGGTCTAGGTCAGTTGCGGCGATGGTGGAAGTCTGATGTGGGGAGGCGGTAGCTGTGGCGATGGTGGATGTCTGATCTGGGTGGGTTTGGGTTAGGTTAGGGCTAGGAAGTTGGGTTTGGGTAGGTTGACAGCGGCGTTTTGGGTGGTTGGAGGTGGTGATACGCCGTGCCGGTCGTGGCGCGACGTATTTTTTTTAATTTCAGGAAATAATTTTCCGACGGAAAATCCGTCGAAAATTTCCGACGGATTTATCTGGTGCCGGAAAATCTCTTATGACGGAAAATTCTGTCGAAAAAGTGTTGTCCGACGGAATTCCGTCGAAAATGTATTTTTCGACGGATTTCAGGTATTTTGGACAGATTTTAGGGTTTTTTCGACAGATTTTTTCCGTAAAAAATGGCCGGTTTTCTAGTAGTGTCAGTTTAGTTCAGCTCCAA